GGGCTTCGCGGTGGGCGGGGGTGCGGCCCAGGTTGAGGGGCACAGGTGTGTGGCCCTTGACCTGGCTCACGGAGAGCCACGGTGACGCGGGGTGGGGTCTGTGTCGGCCACGGGAACGTCGTGTTCTCCAATCGCGATAACTCAAGGTCTCTGCTACAATGGTTTTACTTACGTGTCTTTGGGGGCAACTTTACTTTACCTCAAGAATGTATTTTTCTGGTACGCTCGAACATCAAAATAAGCCTTCGCGGGTTTTTGTTCTTATCTGCTTAATTTGGCTGATTTCTTTCACATTTCCCAGAAAAATTGTTGTAAAATTATTTTTGAGAAGAAAACAATTTGAAGGCTAGTGATATGTTTGAATGATCTTTCCGTTGTTGTTCCTCATAACGGGTAGGTGCCCCATTCAGCCCTGACCTAACCTTTCCGGCGGCGGCACCGAGCTGCCCGCCCAGTCGGCCAAGGCCAAACTGCGGCTCCCCCGCTGGCCGCCATCCTGGTGGTGGTAGTGGTGGTCATGATGGCGCCGAAGCTCGCCGTCGGTACTGCGTTACTGCGCAGGTGCGCCACAGGACAACAACAACATCAGGCTCAACTCAACAACATCAGGGCAGGGCCGCTCCGCGCCGGCCAGCCTCGTCAGCCCCCGTCCGACCGCCAGCGGCCTGCGCTCCGCACTGCGAGTTTCGCGGTTCGCCCGCCAGAGCGACGCGACACGCAGCAGCGCCACGGCGGCGTCGCCCCTGCCCTCCTCCCTGGAGACACAGACGGGCAGGACTCGTAGGCGATACTCTATGGCTATGGAGGGCACATCAGTTTCATAGGTCAAGACCGCGTCAGTAACCCTGTTCCTTGAGTCTTGAGTACATTGAACTGTCGGGGGTGTGCTTGTGCTGCTGTGTAACGGAGCTGCATGAGGTCGTGGGCCTTCTTTGGGGTGACCCCGCACCGCCCACCGCGGGGGGTCGCGGGGCGAGGCCGGGCGAGCTGCACCTCGAGCTGCACATCGCGGAGGTGCGCATGCAGGCCAGGGTGGCGGCCGCCTCCCACCTGCGCGCCGCCCGCCCCGCCGCCGCACTGAGGCGCCCGCAGGGTGCGGCGCGGCGCGCGCGGGGGCCGCCCGAGGGTGCGCCCGGCGCCCGGCCCGGTCCTGGGGCGTCGCGACGCCGCGCCGCCACGGGGGGTAGCGCCGCCGCCCGGTGGCGCCCCGCGCGCGGGGTAGGCCCGGCGGGCGCCGCGGGGTCGTACAGTCCGTCCGCGCTCGCCGTGCCCCCGCCGCCGCCGTGCCGTAGCCGAGGTACCGGGTGTCCGTAAGAATACGCGGCAGCTCGACGGGTTGCCTACGCAGTGGCGTGCGGGCGCGCAGGGCGAGGGGGGGGGGGGCGGTGGAGGTGCGCACCATCCAGCGAATTCCGAACAGTCTATAGAGGCGCCGTTTAGGACCAAACTATTTTTCTCAGAATGTGAAAAAGAGGGAGTACCCACCCCGCTTTTACACGGGGCCCCGCGTGCTTAACTTCGGAGTTCGGATGGGATCCGGTGTGCCCACGCCAGCAGCCAGACTGTTAGATCCGACCAACTGTTGACCAGGGTTGTCGCCTACCCGCTTAAACAGGAACGACGGGTACCCAATTTGTTTTGGGAGTACTTTCCTCATCCCACCGCAGTAATTAGCGAACTCTGGTCTCTGTTCTGAACAGCCACCATAGCAAGGTGGCAGGCACCAGGGCGCGAACCCCGGCCCAGAGCCGACACTTTAGCCACTTATGACGCAGTGCCACCAACAATGTCTTATATGCTTACACCTCTAATCCTGTTTGACACTAAAGATAGCTGAACTGTTTCGTTGCCAAAGGGTCCACGTAAACCTCGTCATGATTCACCAGATGGACATTATGATCAGGCATCAGCAGCAGTTGGCTGAGCATGAAGTCAGTGCAATAGCAGTCTAAATCGGACTGAAAGACCCATAATGAAAGGACAGACACCATTCAAACAGTCAGGTGGCCGTCAAGAGGGGTAGGTCGGGATCAAGCACAACAGATTTGGGAGGAATTCGGAATAAAACAAGATCGCACAAGTCAGGCGCTGACAATAACCCGAGAGATGGCGTTGAGGTTCCCCAGGAGCCCAAAAGATGCGTGGAACAGTACCTTGACATCTGCAAACTCGGGCATCGCCGCACCTCCGAGGTTAGGTCCAACGGATCTTGAGCACCGACCACACTAGAGCACTGACACACGAGTTTTCACTTATCGCGACGGTAGTTACTTCTATTTCGAACGATTTTTAAAGTATTATTAACGAAAAACACCGTTGGCGAAGGTGCAAAAATCCTTTTTTTCGCGAGCGACGGTACCGAGCGCGGGAACTCATATTGGGAGGCGAAACTCGATCTCGATAACTTCAGCTTCAGAACACCAACGTGACACCACCGTCAGCTGACCAGCTGACACCGTTTCGCCCGATCAGGTGCCGAATTGGTGCATTTTCTAACCCACCTTTTGATGGCTCTAAACATTCGCGAAAAGAATCGACTTTTGGTGCACTTTTTGATTAAAAGGCGATCACTCTCTTTCATGTATGCGAATGTGTGTTGCCTGGGAACACTGGGTATGCAGAAGTTGGCAGCACGGAGAGAGTGTGTATCGGGTCATTCCCTTTATCGTCTGCTCTGGGCAGATCCACGGGCCTAGTTGGTAGACATGCAGAGATGTGCGTTTCGCCGAAGTCTGTGTCTCAATGAGGTATTTTATTGGTACTAGGAACGACTTAAAAAGTCATGTGGCTTCGCCATTTAAGGCCCTGTTATACAGAACTGTAGTGGTTTTATCAGTGCAGTCGTATACACTCAAATATGTCAGTGTAAGCCTTCAAAATAGAATCAGAGAAAAAAATAGGAGGAACCCGATGGTACAGCAATTTTATAAAGATCAGAAAAAAGTCAGAAAGAAATTTAAGCAAAACACAAAAGTTGGTGTACTGTAACCTTGAAGGACACCTTAGGTGCCATGGCAGGTGCACCTCTTCTGTCTGTCTCTCCATTTCTCTGTGCTTAAAGGGCTGAAATAAACTGCGACTACCCCCATGTGACCCGTATTTTTTGCTCCCCAGTACGTTTTAATCCTTTTGCACAATACCAAATAAACAATCATTCAATTAAATAATATTACCTCTCTTTTCTGTGTGTGTGTGTGTCTCTCTCACACACAGTTGACTAAAGCCCCTCGAGCGCATATGTACTCTCTCTTCCGTCTCAAGAGAGATAAGCTAATAGGATCACTGGGTCACTGACCACCGTGGGCTCTTCGACCCGCGGGCTGCGCTGTGCTAGAAGTGACCAGGGAACGACGTCTTTGAAAGGGGGCAAGGTCTCTGAGCAGGGTCCAACCAAGACTAAAATTATTTTACTTGTTTATTTTTAAAATGTCCGTTTGTCGGTTTGATAATTCATTCCGCATAGATTTAAAATCATCCCTTCTTTTTACATAATTGTAATTGTTTACCAAACGTCAGAAAGTCACCGACTGCTGGTCGATTAGATATCTCGGTCGATATTTTGGCTCTGCGTTTCTGGCGAAGGACAGAGTTACAGAGTGGGTGCGACACAGGACAGGACAGTACTCCCAGCCGAGCCTCGAGCCTTGACCTAGGCTGCTGCCCGCGGGTCGGGGTTGGGGTGGGGTGAGGTGCGGCGGGCGGGGCAGGGCGGGGCGGGGCGGGGCGCGCCAAGGTCCGGGTCACCTCCCCGCGAGTGTCCTGGGGCCTATCTCACCGCCACATCCTGCCCGCCGGGGAACGCCCTGATGAGACCGCGGGATGATCCACTTTAACAACGCATCACCGATAAAACGCATTCCAAGTCACCGCCGTGGTGGGAGGGGGGGGGGGCAGTCAGCACTGCGTCGCGTCGCTCAGCTCGAGTGTGGTGCACCGCGGGACTTGAAACCAGGAAACGCTCTTCTGCCATCGCAGTTGTATGGGAACTCCCTCCGCACCAAAAGCAATGCAAATTAGTTAAATCATGTTGTTTATTTTGTACGGAAACACACAGCGTTTTCTGTTTCATCAAAAAATACAGGGTGGTCCACAGACCCCTTCCTTTATTTTGCTTATACTGCACCGCATGCAGGCGTGCCGGCGGGCTTGCCTACCGCCGCTCACCACTGTGCCTTATGGCCCCGTGTGCGTATGCAACCCGGCCGCACGCCTGCATCCGGTACAGTATAAGCAAAATAAAAGAAGGGGTCTATGGACCACCCTGTATAATCCTACAATACTAGCACACTTTGTGCTTGTTAAAAATTTACACGCACAAAATACCAACAACAACAACGAACGTCGAGCGTTCTTCGGGGGTTCAGGATGCAGCCGGCGCAGGCCTCTCTGACCTATTGACCTCCCGCATCCCCTCGCACAACCGACTCGACAACGTGATCGGCCGCAAAGTCGCACGCGCTGAGCAGCGCTGAGTCACTCACTATCGCATAGCGATGATGATCGAGAGGGAGTAGGAACAAAAAAATATTAGTTGGATCTTTATGGCAGTTGATTGAATATTGCCGCCAGTTCCGCGGGCCCGGCGTGACGTCAGCACACACCACGGCCGCTAATCCCCGAGCAGGGCCTCCGATACGGTAAAGTCACACACGTTTCAGCGGCTCAAAGCCGCCCCGTTATCTCGAGGCGAAACCCAATAAAACCATTACAAAGCACTAGAGCGGCGCGCGGGCGGCGAAAAAAAGAAATAATACCTTTTCTGTTTTTCCTTGTATCCGCGTGATGGAAGTGCGAGGCACCTCGGGCGAGGCCTTAATTGCACGATAAGTGCTATCGACGCAGGTGCCCTTATCACGAAGCGGGGCCCGAATAGCCTCCAGGTGAAAGGTACAGCCGACAGATAAGATATGGTCGGCGGGGGGGG